CACTTTATTTTCTCTTGCTACTAGTAGAAGTGAAACTTTGCAAATAGACTCATTACATAGCAAGAATGGCTTAGACCTAAATAGGTTAAAAAAAAAGATTAGCAAAACTCTAGCATAACATGTTCAGTAAACTTTAAAACTAACTAAATCTAAAGATCAGATACATATTCAGGAAATGAACACTAAAAAAGAAACCTATTCAGACTTTCTAACAAATGCATAGTTGCTTGTGCAGAACTTCCAGCTATTTTGGTCCTCTTCACATACTTCAGCTTTACTAAAAGAAATAAAAATTGAAAATTTATTTGTATTACATTAATTATTAGAAAACCCTCAGGTAACTACGATTTTAGTATATGCTAAACAATATTGCTACCCTTAAGAGATCAGAAATTACAAGTGATTTACTCAAAGGAGCAAAAGAAAAGTGAGTTGAAGAATATTAAGGTATAAGAAATACCAAGGTGTTCTGATGATCAGAAAGAATCCTCAAGTTTTTAGTCCAATTTCTGATTAATTCGTGTCCCTCTATTCCTTCAGCCCTATAAGAATGAAAAAAATCAACTTATTCCCAAAGATGCATGTTGTAGCTTAAATCGACATTTCCTACATGGTGTGACTATGTAATCAATAGCTGAGCTGCAGTAACTGACTGTGCCTGTTCCTCATCTGATACAGTTTAAGTAATTTTAAAGTGAGAGTGACTGAGCCATCTGTGAGTGGCAGTGTTAAGAGTGAAAATTACTACAAATTTTCAAGACTGTTTCAATTGCTTTTATACATCAGAACAAGAGAATGCAGTGAAAATATGCAATGGAACCTAAAATAATTTTTACTATTTATTTTTACTATTTACAATAATTTGTACTATTTTACATCAAAAATGTATGTAAAAATCTTTAATCATAAAGCCTGCTTTCCAAAATGAGCTACATAATTCCTGGAAAAAGTCCTCATAAAGCTTCAGATTTTTGGTAGTATGTAAGTTATCATAGCAGTCATTTTATATAATTTTTTAGTATTCAATTCTAACACACTTTGAATATGTAAAATTAATTTGAAATATATTTACTAATTCTAGTTTATTCATATTTTCATCTAATTATATTTTTCAGTTATTCTGGTTGTAATTGAAAAACTTCAATTGTTTGAATAGCTGAAAAAGTATATCTTCATTTGCCTTTCTCCTATTTTTAAAATCATATTCTGCTTGAAAACCAGTATTATTTCTCCAGTTCTTCTACCAGCTTCCAAGGGCTGCTTGATGACCTGCTCCCTATCCAGAGCCAAGACAGTACAAGTCCACTACCTGATACTCGCATCTTTCCACTCTCTCTCCTCTTACCATGCTCTCTGCCTCCCCAGAGGTTCCCTCAATTCCTCTGTGGATTCTAAAACTCTTTTTCTGTATCCTGCTTCTCTTCTCACCATCATTTCTATCTTTTACTAGCTCTTCACTATTAAAGTCCATGTCCTATGAGTGAGGGGTGTAGTTTTGTCTTCAAAAGTCCTCATTTCAATCTCTAACCACAGTGAGAGCTGGCAGATAACAATTTCTTAATGGAAATCTCAGCTTAGATGCAAAAACTCCAGGGAAAAATGACAGTCATCTTTCTGGCTTCAGTCCTCTTGACTGAAAGCACTGCTGGGGGACAAGATGATTGAGAGAAAATTTGCAAGACTGCAGTTGTTAATTGCTGAAACGAATTGCAATGAGTTGGTAATTTTACTTTGAATTTTTGTAAGCTTCCTGAAAGCTCCATATATTAAAGCCTAAGCATTTTACAAATGAGAATTCTTGTTTAAAAAATGTGTTATCAGATGTCTAACACTGGCATTCACTTTGAATAGTGTTAGAATTTGCAAACCAACTAGGCAACACTACTGAGGTCACAGATCCACTGAGCTGGAATCAGAAAAATTATCCTTAATCTTTACACATTGTGTCACTGTAGAACTGAATCAGAGTGTCTTTTATATGGACATTTTAAAGCCTGAAATAAGCACTCCCTGGAAATAATAGACATTTGTTTAAAAGAAAATTTAAAAGACAATTTTTTTACATGGCACTTCAGAAAAAATAGGTAGAGAATGAATGTCTTTATTCTGAATACCAAGCTATTACATTCAAATAAATTTTTTTCATTCTTGGCCTATTTATTGTTAGTAACAACATGGAACAGTACCAGTGTAACACAGAGCAACAGCTGGAAGCTGTTTCTTTAGCCTTGCCTTGCCTTCCCTCCCTTCTACGTACACAGTTAACCAAACTGCTTTTTTATTATAACCTAACCAAAATTGCAGTGGCCCTTGTTCTGTGAATGTAAGAGTTGCAAAGGAACTGAAAGCAACTCTACCTTGGCACAGGAGACTTTTTTTAACTTTCATCTGCCCAGTGAACAACTAATTCATTCACATTTTCCATGATGACATTGGAAATATTGCAACTAATTCATCACTTTCAATCACATACATAGCAGTTGTTGAAGTGGAGAGAAATCTTTGATTTTATCACTGAACAAGAGGAAAAATCCTAAATCAGTGCTCTGATCTGAAGGAGAAATCTGCTCCAGTTTACAGACCAGAAACTGTAATTTTATTTCTCACTTTAAATTTCTTTCTCAGTCTTTAGTTGATTTCAAAATAAACTAGAGGAATAAGACAAAAGCTGAATAAAGATTTCAGGTTTGGTCATTCACATTCCAGGAAAGAATACAAGCTACAAATGCCAAACCGATGTATGCGGTATGCATGTATTTTGAAAATATTTTACTCTGAGCAATATTTACCAGTTAGTAATTGTATTAGTATTTCCTGAACTTTTTAAGTTCATACCTAATAACCTTAGAATCTAAACACAGGGCAACAGCCAAAGCCTCTGAAAAGCCATATACAAATGTATTGTAAAGACTTTTGTATTGCATTTCCTCTTCAGATTTACGTTACAACAAACAAAGCAAACAGAACCATCCTCATTTCTGAGAGGTGCAGGAAAAGGTATTGTTCCTGGTCATCACCTTGTCAGAGAACATGGAGCTGGAACAAATGCAAACTATTTTTATCTGATAATGTGGTGTGTGTGTGTGTGTGTGTGTGTGTGTTCGTGTTCATAAGAGGATGCAAATTAGTGACTAGAATATTCCATACTTTTATCTTCTGGAAGTGAAAGACAGTAAGTATAGTTCATAGAAGTAAGCATCATTACAATGAGACTGTGTTTATCACTTCAGAAATAACATACTACTTAAATTTCATATGGCCCTTCAATGTATTTCTATTTTCTTGGCACTAGATAAAGCTTTACTAAACAAAATTTCACAAAGTAAGGGTAATCAGATGTCACCTGACCTATCAGAACATGCTATAATATGCACGTTTAAAGGACAGATTCCTATTAGAGTGCCAAGCAAAAGGGTTGCACAGCAAGCAAAGTGTTGCTCTCTCCATGTTAGAGGGTGTATCCAGCATGTGCCCAGATGACTGCGTATTCCTCTGGCTTTTAAATGCAACTGCATTATCTTGAAGTGTAACATAGTCAGTGTCATGTTAGCACTGCTGTCGGTGCAAAATATCACCCATCTTTCTCTGTCTCCTAGCAACTGCTTTCCACTTTTTTCCTTGCTGTCAAATTCTTTCTTTATTCTTTCCAGATCTGCAGCCCACAAAGAGCTTTTAAAAAGCATTTGCACATGCTACCATTGAATCACTTTTTTTTTTTCATAAACAGTCTATTAAATAAAAGCTCTCCTAG